ACATATATATAGTATATTTATATATGTATATATACACACAAATTACTACTTATAAAAGTTGTTATTAGACAATTAGGATATATGTCTGTATTTTCAGTTCTTGACTAATATATGGAAGTAATTAGCATGTTTCCAAAATGTAAAAAAAAAAAAAACAGCTTTCACGAGGCTTCAGCAGGGAACTTTTAATTTTTTTTATGAAACGTGAACACATCAATTTATTTTTTGCAATCTTTTTCAGTCATCTAATGGACATTTGTGCAATGGCTCATAAAATGCTTGCATTAAAGCCAACACTTAAAGACATGTCTATTTCCCAGTGCCACAAACGGCCAGAAACAATTGCAATCCTTAGATCTTTAAAGGTCATCTAGTTGTTGCAGAGTTGTATGCATTAACAGCAAAAAGAAAAGTTAGAACAAAATGGGGATAAAATGAAATCTATTAAAATAAAATACGACACCAGCATTTTTTTAGATTTTATGATGAAAACAAAAACAGTAGTGCAACAAGGCACATGTTTTACTAACCAAAAGGCGAAGATCAAAAATAGACCAGGAGCAGTTTCATGTGACAGATTGCATATTGGCAGGGCTCAGTTACTTCCTAAATGCCCTCTAGTTGCTTGAAAACTTACAAATAGCAACAAAACTGCAAACAATTCCCAAAGAACAAAGCCAACTTTTGACAGACAATAATTCCTTTAGGAGGAGTAATGATAGGCCAAAGGGCTGATGTTGTATTGCCTTTTATTTATGCTTCATATCTACAGGAACATAGTTTAGAAGTGAATGTAGACGGTTTCTGAGTGGTCATGTTTTTTTCAAGTAAATGGGGAAAAAAGCGAATCAATTTAGTCTAGCAAATTGAAAGAGCAAAAATAATAGAATCACAACTGTTTTTCAATAAAACCCACTCTGTTGATAATTATAGAGAAGTCTGATTTTAGTTAGTAGCAATTAATCGTCTTTATGTTTAATATAACCCTTCAGATGTTGAAGAGACAAACAGTTTTCAAAATTATGCATTTTTTTAAAAACAGTGCATTGCATAATAAGCCATTGTAATGACTGCCGTCAAAAGTTTGTGTACGTGCGTGCAATCACTAATTGTATAAATTAGTGTCCAGGTGCACAGCTGTGAGTGGAGCAAGACACTGAAGGTGATTGGCTGCCTGTCTGGAGGAATGCTGCATTGGTGACGACGTCAGCTTTCCATCCACTCTGCACGTCCCAACCAGCCACAGCTGACCTGCTGTCTGTTGTAATTTTCATATCAGTTAGTTTTGTGAGAAGTTTTTCTATTGAGTAGTGGTGAGCTGCCATATTATTTAAGACATTTTTCTCCTGGTTTTGTTAGATTAGTAAGGTAATAAACCTGGATTTTGGTTAATTTTGTTTTGTTTAGGTAAGAGAAAAATAGTAGGAAATATAGTTTGTTTTGTTTGTTATTTTGGCCTGGGCTCACCCTGAAGTTCGATAAGACTCGTCATCAATGATTATTCACATTAAAAATAAATTCACTGTTTAACCATATCCAGTGACTAAGTGGCTGCTTGAGGTGTTTAGAAGGTGGAAACACTCAAATCTAATTACAACCTGGCGGGTGTGTTTTGCTGAGGTTGTAACAATTGGGGCGATCCCGGACGAGCCCCAATTGTTACAATTAATGGCAGCTCACTCCTACAAAACTCCTCGCAAAACGAATGGATTTTAATTAATAAATTATGAAAATTATGATGGACAGCAGGTCAGCTGTGGCTGGTTACAATGCGCAGAGTGGATGGAAAGCCAACATCATCACCAACGCAATTTTTTTTGTCAAGCACTCCTCCAGGCAGGCAGCCAATCACCGTCTAGTTACTCAGTCTGTTGCTCCACTCACATCCGTGCACTTTGACAATAATTTACACAATTAGTGATTGCACACACATACATAAACTTACGACGGCAGTCGTAACACCATGCACGGGCATTCAGATTCACATAGAACAAAAACAAACAAACAAAAATCATTATCAGTATATATACTATCAGTATATGTTTTGTTAAATGATTCCAGTATATCCCTTTTGATAAAGTTCAAAATGATTTTTTACACTAATTCTACAGTTTGTTTCTATTTGTTTATGTTTAAAGAATAAATTATGTTTTGTATTTGGAAGTTAGGATATTATTTTTGTTAAGACATAAGAAAGAAGAAAAATAAATGCTGACTGTATCCCTGCATCACTTTTGTGAATGTGGTAATTGTTTGCATGCTGTTTTCCTATTACTAGCATCATAACAGCATTATTTAAGTGTGTGCTCACAGCTGGCTGCTTATAAACAATCATGGAACAAATTTAACCCTATCCTTCATCATGTCTTACTATAATTATTTCCAAAGCCCACGCTGTGTAAATGTAACCAAAGAGTTGTTACATTAGTGACGGTAAACTGTTGTTTGATTACAAGATGATTAAGGCTTTTTGTTATTTGTTGTACAGCCTTTAGACTTTGAATCCAGAAGACGCTATGACATGGCCGTAGAGGCAGCTAACGAACACGTCGACACCCGCTTTCTGCCTCTGGATGAGTTCATGGACAGAACAACACTCAAAGTAGTCGTGGAGAACGTGGACGAGGCACCTGTCTTCCTCTCGCCAGTCTACGAGTGGAAGATTCCTGAAAATGCAGCTGTGGGAACCGTAGTTGGCAGCGTTAGTGCCAGAGACACTGACACAGACAACAACCCCATCAGGTAATGTGAGCCGTCGAAAAGCAGGAAAAATGGCATCTGTCATCCAGCGTTCAACCAGCAGCATGATAATGGCGAGGAAAGCTGGTGTGGGTGGAACACCCTGAGACAGCTTCCTCCACAGGGTGAAAAATCATTCCATTTCAAATATTGCCACAGCCAAGGTGTATCCATTTTTACCCTTGATCTCTGGATATCCCATACATGGTCATATTTATCTCATATTACTTTAGTGGGAAATGAGCCCTCCTGAATAAATCATGACATATTTTTTCACACCTCACAGGATTTCCTATCTATCGGCATGGTATTATCACAAAGCGACGTCGCTAGGACGTGCAGATGTAATAAAGCACCATACGAGGTGGCACACGGAATTAAGATTTGCAGTCATTTGCAACTGGGGCACGTTGCAGAGGAGACAGCCTTACAACTGGTGCTTGTCCATCCTAGCAGAGCCTAAGAGTGGCAGGTGCTGCACATCATCCTCGCGAAGCGTCTGTTACCGTCCCTCAGGTGACAGCGTCTCATTGGTTAATAAATTCAGGCTGACATTTTTGGGGTTTCCACGTTTCTACTAAATGTGATTATATTTCCTGGGGTCAAATTGCTTTATAGTCTGTGCTCTTATCAACAAATTAGCACACAAATATTTCTTCAATTTATTATTTTTATTTCCCTAAGGGGTTGCAGTCACTTAAAAGAAATAGTTCAGATTTTTTTCAAGTGGAGTTCAGTCGTAAAATCATAAACAATTAATATTTCACTTTTTTAGATCGCCCTTCAGCGATTTTAGAATGAAGAAAAATGGGATAGGGAGGACTTTTGGGAATATTTGAAATCTAGTTAAAAAGAGATTAAAAAAAAAGTTTTTGACGGTCATAAAAATATATATTTTTTTTAACGACATCTGGTACTGAGACAATAAACTGCTTTCTAACTGTACTTTTCTAGTCAAGGTACCTTTTTACATGTCTACCACTTGATTTGAGATGTTTCTGCTATCATAGTTTAATTTGAAAGGATTAAATGTGGAAACTATAGTCAAGGGGAGCTCAGGTTTACTGCTAAAATATGTGCAGCACCCTCCAAAATGATGCGTTGGACTGGTGAAAATGACGGAAAATAAAAATACCCGGCTTGCAGAATTACCAGCAGCAGATGTCTCTTTAGAAAATCCTGTATTTCATTAGTGAGGGTTTTTTTTTACTTTTGTTTATCAAGACCTGGAGTGAGTAAACATTGTTTCACGGATAGGAGACATGATGAAACAAAGGGTAGTGGTGGTGGGTATATATAAAAAAAAGTAATCAAACATACATTCTTTAAGTGCCTTTAAGTACCAAAAATTGCCAATCCTAAACCAAATAAGATCTTTTGTAAACTTTTAAAAAGTGTACCTTTTTTTTGTGTTAAGCCTTTCCATCAAAATTTTGTTCAGCCTTTTTTTTTTTTAAATGAAAAGCAAAATAAAAGGAGTGTGGTTAGACTAAAAACAGATTATGAAAACTGGTGTCTTCTAAAGTCTGGGCAATCAGTTTCAGGTGGTGTATTTCCACCATTTTTTGTCACTTTGTCTTTGTTGGACGTTTTATAAGAAAAACAACATGTAAGCTGTTTGCTTAATTAATGTCCCGATGGTATTTCAACATATTGTTTACCCTGAAAACAACCTTCCCTGCAAAATGTGCCTTTCTCGTTTCTGTATTTGTTTTCCAGATACTCAATTGACAAAAGGACCGCTGCCACAAAAGCTTTCAATATAGACCCAAACAATGGAACCATAGCTGTTGCTAAAGCTTTGGACCGCGAGATTACAGAGTGGCACAACATGACTGTCGAAGCCAAGGAAACGAGTAAGAACCATTTTTTCTTGTTATTTGGATCTAGTTGATATGGCTACTAGACATTCATCTTCATTCACTGTAGAAGCTTGTATAAAAAAAGTTCCAACGATGTGGTGATAACAAGCTTGTTGAAGGAAGTCTGCCTAACAAGGTGTACTTTTCAAACTTTTGCAGTAAAATGTACAATGAAAGTTGTTTAGCTTACAGCAGCACACAAACAAACTTGCATGTAACATTTAGCTATGTGCTGTAGGGAAACTTTGATTTTTGCCAGTAATTTCTCACCCATATATATATATATATATATATATATATATATACACACAAGGGACCATGAACAATAAATGACTCATTTATGAATGAATTACTAAACCTGTTGCACAAGTCACATATCTCATATGCAAATGATTTATAATAAACAGCTCTTTATTTTAGATTATTGCCCATTTACAAATTGAATGTTATATACTAGCTTGGTTGCATTTAATCTTTCCCACTAGCTTGGAATCAGATAAAGCTATGTTGGGTTGTTATTATTTTTACATATTTTTTAGGTTTTTGTTTGTTTGGTTGCCGCTAAAAAGTGATAGGTGGGCCTATGTGGGTGCATGCATGTTTACGCATGTCTATATTACAAATATCTCATGAACCACACGGTAGTTTTTGTTTAAAAGTTGAAGAAAGTAATCACTTAGTGCGCAACTAAAATTGATTACTTTTGGAGTGAATGCCATTGAAGATGCCATTGTCCGTGGGCATTCAATAACAGTATTATGACTATAACTAATAAACTTTGTGAGGTAGTAGTTGAGAGCAAGGCTTAATTTGAGCTAAATCCTGCCAGAACGGGATCTGTGGGCTCTTTTATTTTGACAGGGCACGTTCCGGTAACCTGTTTGCTTGGAACCGGCAACTCTCAGGCTTACTAATAATAAAGTTATGAACAAATATGCCTGCCTTGAATGAATACAACTTATATTGAATTTGTAAAATTTTACATAAACACTAATTTTAAACACAACAGCCACTTACGAGCATACAAGTTGCCCCTTCATGTAGCATTTCTGAATCTACCCTTAAAAAAACCTCCGGCCCTAAAAGAGTGGTGGGGGTGAGTGCTGAGCTATCCAGGCAGTTGTATGCGGGTAGGAGCCCACAGGCAGCGGCCATGAACAGACGGACATTTGTTTACAAATGCAGGTAAACGTAGATATTAACAACCCGTTAAAATACACCAAAATGCAGGAAATTGCATCTATTTTATTCAAAATGTTTTGAATAAAAACCCCCAGATGCCCCCACCCCCGCCCCCTACCATCCTATCAGAGGGTCGTGAGGAGGCTTTCACTGTTGTGAAAGTTCTTCACAACACATACACTGAGCACTAACACATTTCACAAGATCTTGCAATACTGCATTAGCTCAAGCATAACGCAGTTTATGAGTTTTAACTTCAACAGCTATAATTCTATCATCTGTCATTATACAATAATTGAATTGGGGGGGCTGCCTGAAAGCAGACCCCTATTATTATCCACTTGAAGAAGGTGTTGCTCTTCCTTGAACTTTAATGCAACCCGAACCGCAATGTGTACACCTAGACATTTTACATCAAAACGACCGGCTCAGCACCGTGATATTACTTTTGTTGGCATTTTGAGTTACCATGGCGACGTAAATTGCAAACAAAAAAAGCATGAACAGGTTGAAGGATTTTTTTTTTTTTTATTCAGAAAGTAATCATTAGATGTATCTCTGGAACTAATTCCATTTTTGAGCCATTTTGGTTCAAGATGGCTGCCGCAGCTACCTAAGAATACACACAATTGGCTATAACTCAGTCATTCTTTGAGGTGTTGAGCTGAAGTTTTGTATGGTGGCATATGCAATCGAACCACAACACATGGTGTCAAATCAAAGTGCAATGTGGCCGTCCTCATCAAAGTTTTTCCAGGAAATTAATAGATGTAATTGCAACTCTGTCATGAATAACACCAGTCAACATGCATTCCTTTAAGTTCTTCCAGTGCTAATGTTTTCAATTCAATAGTTTATCTTTTAGCTCTATGGGTGAAATCATTTAAATGCATGTTCTATGTTCTGTGAGAAGGAAAGGTTGTATACTAAGGGAAGCTGTCAAATTCAATCCAAAATGCACTGATTCCAAAGCACCATTATCGGTTAATACTGTGATGTTGTTTTGATCTTGTTTCAGCATAAGCAATGTGGAACTACGAAACATTTCTCAGCCTTAAGTGTTATTTTGACATGGCTTTCACAAAGCATCTGTGATACATGCACCCAGTGGACTTCAGCACATGTCTGTCTTCACTACTGCAGCACAGAACCGTTTATCCTCCACCGTGGTGGTGTTCATCAAAGTGCTGGACATAAACGACAACGTGCCGAGGCTTGCCAGGGATTACCAGCCATATATCTGTGAGGGCACGCAGGCTGGAGAAGTATGTATATTATGTTGTCCTCGTGTTCATGATTTACTCCACAATAGTGTCAAAATGCGCATAGGGTTTAATCTGTAAATGTTCACATAATATATAATATAATAATATATGTAGACAGAAAATATATTATAAAGCACTGTGCATTATATTTTATCACACAGAAATTCATATAATTCAATGCAATACTTTAAACAATGAAGTGACAAGAAATGTTGGATAAGGCGGCACGGTGGATAAGTTGGTAGCGTTGCTGCTTCTCAGCGAGAAGGTTGCTGGTTCAAATCCCAGCCTGGGACCTTTCTGCGTGGAGTTTGTATGTTCTGGGTTTACTCCGGGTACTCCAGTTTCCTCCCACAAAACAAAAACATGCATGTTAGGCTGATTGGTAACTCTAAATTGTCTCTAGATGTGAGTGAGAGAGCAAATGGTTGTTTGTCTCGTTTGTCTCATGTGTCCCTGTGATGGACTGGAGACCTGTCCAGGGTGTCCCCCACCTCTCACACAGTGATAGCTGGATATGGGCACCAGTGATTCCCGCAACCCAAAAAGGAAGAAGCGGGTAAAGATAAAAGATGGATGGAAATATTTGATTAGAACAGGTGCGTATGTTACATTGGCTGCTGCTAAAGCTGAGAACTGTTATTTTAGAGAAATAAATAGGCATGACAAATTTTATGAAATTTTGTTGTTTGTTGTGCATACATTTTTGTTTTGCTTCTGTTTGTGTCTCTTGAGCTCATTCAGCTTCTCAGTGCGGTTGATTTGGACGATCCCGTGGAAGGACACCACTTCTACTTCTCGTTGGTGCCTGAGGAGCACATTAACCCAAACTTCTCTATCAGAGATAATCAAGGTTACATTCAATTACATATTTCAGCTTACAGTTATTTTTTTGTAATATTGTTATATATTTTTTAAAGATTAAAGCCTTTTTTGTTGTTCACTCAAGTCTAAACAGCCTACTCCAATTAGTAAACAAAATACCACTATTTAATTTTAGGTATCCTTCTATTAAAATAAATTTTACATTTTATTCTTCTTTACTTCTTTCATTGCATAAGGAGACTCACACAGTAAAAACAGATGAACAACCATCCCGAGGTTACATTTCAATAAATTTAATATATGGAGGAAACATACAGCCTGACTTTTTGTGTTAAATGATATAGACTTTTTTGAAAAGGATAGCATGAATTTACAAAAAACAAAACAAACAAAAAAAACCCACTGGTTTATTTCACGATCATTTTGGGCTTTTCTTTCTTTTTTCCTTAAATCTAATGGATTTTTTTTTTTCAGTACGGGGGATTTCCAAGATCTCATTTATCCCAGAGTTTATTTTCTCTTCTTATGATGTAATTTTCTTTAACAAAATGATATAAAAAATAGTTTTGCAAGGTTTTACAAACAAACCACTGAAGACTGAGGCCAAAAGGAGAGCAGCGTCCCCACAGGATGGTCCCAGAACAAGTTCCGAGTCTTACCCCATTCATGTAAACAGACAGGACTTTGAACTTAACAACAACAACAACTTAATTGCAGATTGTTAGATATTTTGTTATTTATTTATTTCATTAACCCTTTATTTATACAGGTAGTCTCATTGAGCCACAAGAACTCATTTTCAAGCGAGACCTGTTTAGTGAGCAGATGGGGGGTTAAGGGCCTTGCTCATGGGCCCAGTGTGGGGCGAATGAGGATGGGGGCAAGTGTGGGTGCTTCACCTACCCCACCCACAATTTTGATGTTGTCAGGGCCGGGGCATGAACCGGCGATATTTGGATCACAGGCCCACCTCTCTAACCTCTGCGCCACCACTCCCCTTTTTATTTTGGATAATAAATAAATAAACAAACAAAAAATGCAAACCATTGCAGCTCATCAAAAATATAATATTTTATATAATAATGTTACATATTGTCATCACTGTATGTTTCCATACTATGGTGAAATTAGTTTCTGCATTTAACCCATCGACCATCAGGTGGTGCAGTGGGCAGCTATTGAAAACACCCGGGGAGGCATTTTGGGGATGAGGTGTGCTGCCCAGAGACACCACGAGGTACGCAATAACCGGGGATCGAACCTGGGACTTTTGGGTCCCGAGCCAGCTGTCCTGCCTCCACACCATCTCGGCCCCACATCTTGTGAAAGTTATAGAGTGAAGTTGAAATAAACAAGTCCACTTTTGGAAGAACTGAAAAAGACTAAAAATCCCAATACCGTATTTTCCGGACTATATGTCACTCCGGAGTTTATGTTGTATCAGTCAAAAAATGCCTCATGAAGAGGAAAAAAACAAAAACAATATATAAGCCGTTTCAGAGTATAACTCGCATTTATTTAGAAGTGTATTTCACAAAGTGCAAAAACAGACATTTAATCTGAAATAACAATAACACACAGGACATATCTGGCATCCTGAACAGGCTTAATTAACATAACAAGTCAACGAGTCCAACAAGCAAGTTACTGGTAAATTCACCAATCTCATTCCACATCACTGAATGCATTGAATTCTTCATCATCTGTGTCACTTCTGAACAACTCTGCCAACTGTGGAGGAAGATGAAGCACAGTCTCCTCTTGTGGGGGGCGGTCGTCAGACTCCGCATCAGTTCCAGTTATTCCGGCCTTTTTGAATCCCGACTGGATGTTTTCAGTTGTCACTGAAGTTCATGCTTTGTTGATCCATCCAAGGACTTGCTGGAAAGTTGCATGGTGCATCCTTCCGGTTGCCATGAATCTGTGCTCTCCATCCACCTTCCACTCCTCCCACATGCGACGCAAGGCTGCTTTAAAGCTCCAGGTCACTGAGATGTTGAGAGGATGGAGTATTTTGCTAAAGCCTCCAGGGATGATGGCATATATGGAGTTGCAAGCTTTTATTTTACTTTTGAACTGTGGCGTTATGTGTATTCACATACTATCCATCACAAGCAGGGCATTACGTGTTTGAAAGGAGCCATCAGGATGCTTGGTGTAGCATTTTATCAGCCAAATGTTCATCATTTCTTGATCCATCCAACCTTTCTCATTCACTGACACAACTGTGCTGGGGGAATTCGTCTTTTGGCATAGTTTTCCGTTTGAAAATGGCTATCGGTGGCAATTTCGATCCATCTGCACACCATGCTAGCACCATTGTGAAGCGCAATTTCTCATGACCAATTGTCATATATTCACACTTATCAGCCCTTTCTGTGCAACACTTTAGCCCATGGGGATATCAAACATGAGGGGGACCTCGTCCATGTTGATAATATGATCCAGTGACATGTTGTGTTCCGCTACCTGCTTTTTAACAAACTCATGGAAACTGTTGACCTTGACTTGAAAGTCTGCTGGCAGTTTCGGACACACCGATGTCTGTGCTCTGATGGAGAGGTGGTTACGTTGCATAAAGTGATAATACCAAGAAAGTCTGCCAGCAAAATCCTTAATATTCATCTCATTGACCACGGCCATGGCGTGGAGACGCAACTGGAGCATCAACAAGCCTCTCCCAGCAGTGCGTTCTTCCAGTACCCATCTGTGGACTTGTCCCTTCAACTCTGGGCATCTTGCTTTCATCCTGTGATTAGTTTTCTTTTTTTTTTTCATTGCAGTTAATGTAACCTCAGTTTTTCACCAGTACCTCACAAGTTTCTCATTCACTCCAAACGTTCTTTCTGCTGCTCGATTATCATTTTGGGCTGCATATTTTATTACCTGCAGTTTTTTAATCTGCAAAACAAGATTTTCTTTGGGGGCATTTTACATGTGTTAAGTTTTTCTCAGTTGTCTATAAGTAAATGTTGGGGGTGGAAGGTAGTTGTAGTGGAAACTAGTAGGAACAACATATAGTTGTCAAAAGATTTAGAGGGTCCTCTCATGGCTGCAAATGCTTATATTAACTATTTTTTTCTTCATCATGTGATGTATTTGCACTCATTGTGCCTACTTTTATTGTTCATTTGTATATATGTGGTTTTGTTTCTTGTATACATATTTTATTTTAGTGATTTAAGAGATGATCAGTGATCAATGTTATTTATCGCATTACTCACTTTGTCTATAAAATAAGAAATAAAAAGTTGGCAATCCTTATTTGAAGAGATAGGAACAATCAAACGGTGATTTAAAGTGTAATTCTTGTTTTGTGGTTTGTACATCTGTGGGTTAGAATAAAGTTGAAGCAAAGCCTGTAGCTTTTCGTTAAACGTTTGAGGAAAATATTCCCGAGAGATCCAATACTCTGGGTCCGGCCTTGCGTGTTTCAACAGCTCACAATATGAGCGTTAATATTATGAGCAAAGGATCAAGTTAAGTATTTTGTCATTCTCATCACATGTGGTACATGAGGTGGAACAAAATGATGTACTCAGGATCTCAGTTACACCCCAAAATTATAAAAATATAAAGTAGACAAAGAAACAGTAAAAAAGGATCTAAGATACACAACAAGATATAGTATGCTAAACGAATGCACGCCAAAAGATTCAAAATATACGCCAAATGCTTCAAACGCTTGTAACATAACATCAAAACAACATTATTCAAATTTTAACAACAACAGCATACAAACAAACAAAACGCATGTTGGAGTTGAAATTGCATTAATGGTTTTGAATATTTTATATTTGCATGTAATGAGATACCTCTTGGGTGACGTTTAGTATAAAGTTAATCTGTGTTCTTGTTTGTTTTGCAACACTTGAAGGCATTTTGAAAATGATTGACAATTTGCTGTAGACCAAACAAAAGTTATTATATATCAAGCCATGCAAGATGAATGAAACATTCCATGAGACCAGCAGCTAAAAACCCTCTGAATAAACACTTGGAGAAAAAAGTTTCATATATTTATTTTCCATTGCATAAGCATATATTTAAATTATTTTTAAGACATTTTTGGTTAGATAGCTGTTTGTGTGCCTGACGGCCTCCCAGGAGTTTGCTTTAGCAACCAATGGGCAGTTCATGATTTTAAAAGCTTATGATAAATAATAGTGAATATAGAGACAACAGCTCTGAAAACCTTGGAGCATTTTTAAATGTGTTAAAATCTGTTAGACTGAAATGCACTGAGGCGCAGAGTATGGGTGGTTAGCCAAGCAGGCTCCCCCAGTCGAGTCAGCAACATGAAGATGAATAATGAATCAAATAGAAATGCATTTAATAAAACATAATTTTATATGTGACAAGCCTTTTTTTTTTCTCTCTCCAGAGAAGTTATTGTTCAACGCCTTGATAGATTCTAACAGGGGAAACTGAATCACATTTTACACATTTTCTTCTTTAAACTGATATTAATATATGTGTTTCATATTTAGAAATTTATTCATTTCATTAAAAACAAAATAACTATATACAATAGAAAACAAAAAATATGTATACAATCAAAAATAAAATGACAGGCAGCAGAAGAAGAAGAAATCTTATGATATCTGCCCCTTTTTGCTCAGATTATATTCAAACAAAAGTCATTTACACAAAAAAAGCAAAGCTAAATAAAAAAAGCATCATGTTGGGTAAGGGAGGAAGTCTGTATTAGAATCTAAATCACCTTCAGTGTGTCAGTTTTACTTCTTTTTTCACCCACACATTAAAGCTCATGTTTGTTGTAAGCTGACTGAAAAATTCATCTTTTCTACTTGATCTTTTTAGACAATACAGCTGGCGTCGTGGCACGCAGGAGTACTTTCACACGCAAGGATCGAACCCAGTACCTCCTACCTGTGGTTGTGGCGGACAGTGGCTTTCCGGTTCTGTCCAGCACCACCACGTTGACCATCAGCGTGTGCAGCTGTCAGCCTGCTGGCCATTGTCCCACAGGAGGGGTGGAAGCCCTCGCTCTGACTATGAGCGTCAGCATGCAAACCTTGTTAGGGATTCTAATCTGTCTGGCTACACTCACAGGTAAGTGTGGAACATGTTTTTTTATGGCGACTAAGAAAGCGTAAGGAGAAGATCTAAAAAAAAAAAAAAAAAAAAAAGTCAAGTCAGGTCTTCTGGACTGATTCTTCTTGTTGAAATGTTTTATCTATGATGGTCCAGCACAGAAGAGCAACATCATCAGGCCAGTACTTTGCAGTCTACACTCATCTCCGGGCCAGCGGTCACTCGTTCAGGGATGAAGATGTTCACATCCTTGATAGAGAGGAACATTGGTTTGAGAGAGGAGTGAAGGAAGACATTTTTGTGAAGAGAACCTGTCCATCATTAAATGGGCGAATGTGTCCGTGTCCAAATGTCACCCTCTTACAATTATTGCTAGTATCACTCAGCCCTCTGTGAATACCCTGGTGAAAATTTAATGTACTTAAGTACTTTGTACATTAAAATATGTTCTCAAGTAAATTGACTTATTAGGATTACATCGAAAATTTAAAATAAATAGATTTATCTAAATATACGTCAAGTACATTGTTATAAAATATATTTTGTTACACTTTATGAAGTACTATTTTTTGCAAAATATATATACATAGAAATCTATCAAATGTATTTATAAAATTAGACTTTATATAAACTTTTTCAAAATGCACTTTGAATGCATTTGTAAAATTTTGTTTTCAAACCATACTTAAAATATATATTACAAATGTATGTATCCAATACTTTTCAGCAGTTAATTGAATTAAAAAATAGATGTATTTGAAAATGTTAATGTTATTAATGTTCCCAATTGTACTTTTCAAATTGTACTTTACAAATTGTACTTAACTTTAGTAACTTTTTTGTGCTATCTCTTTGATTTATGTAAGCATTTTGGGTGTATTTAACACAACTGTCCCATGTTTTAAACTTAAATGTAATTGTATTGTGTAGAAACTACATAATATGCAGAGAGGGTACATGAATTGGTTCATATCATCTGATAGCAAGTGGCCATCAGGGCACTAACAGTCGTTAGGCTGATGGTCCTTCTTTTGCATGTGAACAACTAGTTCTAAATGTCACCAGCAAACTGGTTGATCCACTATGAGAAGGTGCTATTTATAATACTGAGTTTGTTGCAGCTCCTCAGACTGAAGAAGTCTAATTGATAAAAGATGAAACATTTCAACAAAGAAGAATCTGTCCAGAGGACCTAATACAATTTTATTAGATTTTTTTCTGGATTACTGAGCATGCATCAAGATAGTAAGGAGAAGATCAAAGGGTTTGGCATTCTTGTAGTTCTAATCTGGTTTTAAAAGTGTTACTGAGTCTGGCTGAACCTTGTGACTGCTAAATGTGGGAAATTAAAAGGCAAAGATTGCACAAAATATAAGTAAATTTGTGTTTGGTTTATTCGTTTTTTGTTGTAATGTACAAATGCTTCTTAATGTTCGCAAAAATGCAGTGATGGCATTTCAAGACTTTTTCCACCCTGCTTAAAAAAAATTAAAATAAAATTGGATATTTGGGGAATCCTATGACAAAAGAATGAAATGCTAATAAAGTAATAAAGTTTTGTGTATTCACAAAAAAAAAAACTTTAGACCACTTAAATATGCAGTCTGGTGACCCCCAAGGATGAGGATTTGACACTTATAGAATAAAATTTTATACAACTTTTGCCATCAATAAATCAAACTGCAATTTCATTGAACCTTTGTTTGATATGAAGTTCTTTTCCAGCAGACGTGATCAAAAACATTTCCACTTGACAACCATTTGGCAAGTATGAGTGCGTGCTAAGTAGCAGAGTTTTCACTAACAAATTTGCACTTTATTTCAAATCTGCCTTTTAAAACTCGCCGATGTGCTTTTAACACACATTACAATGCTCAAAGCTTGCAGAGCAATGATGTCAGGTAATGAGTGTATTGGTTGCAATACATCAGTACCAATGCCATCCTGGGACATTGATGGGCCTGCATAGTGAAGAGCTTTATTATGACCTTAGCTGCTTTGTGTCCTCCCTTTGCCCATCACATGAAAGATTAATGACAAAACCTGCTATGCTAACACTCAGAGGGCAAGAACCCGTAAATATGGCAGACAAAGATAAACATTCTGTGGTAAATGTTGCAGATAAAAAAGACAGATTTCATATATTAGCTGAAATTAAAGAACTTATTCCCCAAATTTTCTTAATTTGAATAGCTGCAAAAGTTATAGTACCCCGCTTTCTTTTAGCAAACTTGAACATTCTTGCATGCTCCATCAGGCGCCTTATGTTGTTTTGATTTTTTTTTTTTACTCACTACGCTCATGTCCTGGTGTTTAATTGTAATGATCTCCCACTGTGTCGTGTCTGCAGTGCTGTCATTCCTGATGCTGATGGTGAGGAGACACAGGCAAAAACAGCAGGAGGCGACGGGCGAGGAGGCGAAGGAGCTGCCGGACACCGTGTCACAAAAGGTGCTTTATTACACAGCTAAAGGAGAGGGAGGAGCTGAGTTGGACTTCTGCCAGCCCGTCGTCCCGCTGCGCCCCCGTCCCAAGAGACGGGAGAGGAGGCTGCGGCGGGAGGACGTCAGGGCCAGCATACGGATGTCACTCCGAGAGTCACACCTCATTGGCCCGGAGGACGAGGTCTTCAAGCAGTTCATCCTGGACAGACTGGCAGAAGCTGATCATGATCCTTATGTTCCACCGTTTGATTGCCTCCGGACTTACGCATATGAGGGGTCAGGGTCCCCCTCAGGGTCCCTCAGCTCATTGGACTCTTCATCTCTGGAGCTGGAAGTTGCGCAACCTGTTTGCAATCCCAGACCCAGTTTAATGAGACTCACTCCTTGGTATGGAGGAGGAGAGGCGGACACAATATTTTAAATTATTATTATTATTTGAGGTGAAATAGTAGACTATTGCATGTTAAGGTAGATATTTTGAACAAAAACAACACTATGTCTCTGGCATCTAATTAAATGGGGTTAAACGGTAAATGTATGGAAAATAATTATTTTATAATCACGACCCTTTAAAATTGTTCTATCAAACTTTTTCTCAAAACTTTTCTACATGTTTTCTTGTCTTTCTACTTTAGGAATGTAGGAATGTAATACTGACTCTTTTTTTTATGTTAGTTAAAAAACAGCAGCTGTCTTCCTGCACGTTATAAAATCGTGGAGCAGCATGATCATCCATATCCTGTCAGACCTGCATCCCCTCTCCTCCAGTTTTGTTCTCTATGAAATCTTGAGAGCGTTTTAGTACTCCTTAGCTTATTAGCTTTGAGTCCGTATGTTCAGCTTGAAGCCTTTATTCTGACTGTTGTGTTGCACCGAGCAGCAAGTACACGGTGAATTTACCGTTCACGAGTTTCTGCTGAAAAGGCTCCCTGCTGCAGCTGGAAAATGAACTGTTGTGAACAGTTTGAAGTTCTTTTTTAAGCAGAGAGGAAACAATTCACTGACTCTTTATTGTTTCATCTTTTCACAACATTATATAATTATTATAAAAATATATATTCTGTATATCTTAATTTATTATGTTACATTTAAGTGATAAATGTGTCATATCCATGTATTGGACACAATTAACTGTGCTTACTGGTGTATAATTATATATTAAAAATGTATTTATAAATTAAAGTGGTCTTTAAAGGAATGCTTAATGCCTGTCACCTTTTTGTGTCAAATATATAAACTGTTTATTCTGTGCTGAAAAACGAAGAGGCCGCAAATATTTAAAGTCAAACATATTCGTTATCAGTAAAACTGACTGAGTTAAAGTAATTGTTGTGTTGGCTAATGTTGATTAGCTGCTCCGTCCATCTGTAGCTCAATGTTTGTAGTAATGACCCAGATACAGCGCTTTTGGTGTTGGTAAAAATAAATTAACTATGGCGACCATTTTTAATTGACGACTTTAAAAGTTTAATAGCTGTAGATGTGAATATGATTACTTTTTATCCATCCATCCATCCATCCATCCATTATCTTTACCCGTTTATTCCATTTTGGGTCACGGGGGTCGCTGGTGCCCATGTCCAGCAATCACTGTGCGAGGGGCGGGGTACACCCTGGACGGGTCGCAAGTCCATCACAGGGCCACATAGAGACAAACGAGACAACCATTCACTCTCTCACTCACACATAGGGACAATTTAGAGTTACCAATCGGCCTAACATGCAGCACGGTGGCGCAACTGGTAGAGCTGCTGCCTCTCGGCGAGAAGGTCCTTGGTTCAAACCCCGGTCCAGGGGCCTTTCTGGGTGGAGTTTGCATGTTCTCTCCGTGCATGCGTGGGTTTTCTCCGGGTGCTCCAGTTTCCTCCCACAGACCAAAAACATGCATGTTAGGCTGATTGGATTACTTTTTAATCTTCATAAAAATCCATCTTCTGGCTTTTGAGATATTTTGCCAACAGACAAATCGATTGGACCCTAAGAGTTCATGTTAAGATTTTTTTTTATAAATCTTGCAATGTAAATAAATGTTGGAGTATGTGTTATGAACTGCCACGCCACATTTTAGTGCAAAACATTAGTCCCTCACTACTTCGCAGTTCATTTATCGCGGACTCGCTCGATCACATTTTTTTCAAAATAAGATTGGACATGACACAGTTAGATGATTGATGGATGAGCCACATGATCGGCATATAATTTTTTATTTTAAATAAATGATTTTAAATTATTTAGCTACTGCTGCACCTGTGTGCTTCCATCTGCAGCGTGTCAGATCTCCGCTCTGCAGCGGAGAGTTGGGCGTGGCCAAGAGCGCTGGCAAGTGGCAAAGAGCAGCCGGAGGCAGAGAGCTGAGATCATGACATGCTGTGATCTTTTAGAGCATTTAGAGTTTAGAAACGTGTTAGTGACGTTGCAAGAGTCGGGGAAGGGTTTAATACGCCTTAATACTGTATATACCTGTACATAAATACTAAAATAAACTACTGCATACTATTACTACTACTTGTGTACATAATTTTGTTCCATTTCATGTAACACATGAGATGGTAATGACAATAAAATTTACTTGAACTTGGATTACCCAATTTTGCATTTTTTCACTTATCACAGTGTGTGTGTGGGGGTCTCAACCTCCATCCCCCCCCCCAACACACACACACAAACACAATAAATGGGGGACTACTTTATTGAATTTTAATTACCTTTATGGTCCAACAAAGCTCAGGCAGGTCATCTGGACGGTTTATTTATTTATTTTTTGTTTGTAGAGACGTTTCATCCTTCATCCAAAGGACTTCATCAATCCAAGAACCACTTTTTTGAACACTTTGGCTGTGGCTGCCTCAGAGGAGTCGACAGGGGAGAGGGCGGACCCCAGAAGCCATCTTATCACCAGCAAACTGGTTGGTCCAATGTGTGGTTTCTGCTTGTGGGACTTGGTTTGTTTGTGGCTCCTCGGATTGATGAAGGCCTTTGAATAAAGGACGAGATGTCTCTACAAACAAACAAACAAATAATAATAAACTAGCCAGATGACCTGATTGAACTTTATTGGATTTTCTACCTGGATTATCAAGCATGAACTTTGATAAATATATGGTCATTTAAATGAAAATGTACTGTAAATATAAAATGTTTATCAAACGTCACATTTTTAACATCTTATTAACATATTGTTTTAAACAGTCAAAGAAGAGGATAGACAACGACTGATTGCTTTTAGCTAATTAAGGTTGACAAAGACTTGATTTGAGGCGCATAAAAAAAGAAGGATTGTCCATATCTGGAGCAAGGTACGTATAATATAAGGAATAATGCAGTGTCTCTTCTTTCTTCATGGTCATTAGACAAACTGTACAAGCAGTTGTGTAGGCGGTTGCTTGTGGGATGACTTGCAGTAATTGTGAGGTGATCAGAGCCAGGCCCCTTCACCTACTCATCCACTAATTGGGCTGTTTGTTGGCTGTGAAGGTCAGAACTTGAACCACAGAGAATATAGTTCTCACCTAAGAAGAAAATAATAATAATAATAACACACAAGCTTGTTTTGAAGGGGAAAAAAAAATTGCAATGTGATAAAAACAAGTAATTGCATGAATTTATTCAGCGTTTCCTGCTGCGGTAACTTGTATGAGTTCTGCAGCGCTCAGCACGACACATCCAGACATCCCTGCAACTCAAAGTGCGCTTCAAATGACTTTCTCTGTTGGAAACAATCCATTTGTCCAGAGCTTTTCAAACTAAATTATTGTCTCACAATAGCTTCAAAAGACACCGGTGTTCACAAAAAAAGGCCTTTTTAAAAAGTCTTTTCAAACCTGTCTTCACCATCCAGCATGTATTGGAGTTGCCTGCAAAAGCTCTGGTATAATTCTTTTTACAATGGAGCCTTAATGTCAGAAGTCATTCAGCTGCTGGTGTCATTTAACCTTCTGAATTTCTGCCATTATCCACAGTGAATATTACGGGTAATTTAACCTAACAGCCCTTTTCTTTGTGTAATTATACCCATTACAGGAACGTGAAGGATTTCTCTCTGTCAACGGTCCCTGTCCTCAGCTCTCTCAGACGGGTTTTTAGATTCAGCTCCTCAGCCGAACTCATCACACAGCACCACCGCGCACACTAGAGGGTCTTTAGCGGGGACGCTCATTTGCCAGACAGTGAGTAGATTGAAAAAATGCCTGAAAGGATTTGGAGAGCCATTTTTTTCCATTCATTAGGAACATGTACGCCTTAAGGTTTGACTCAAGAGAGAACAAATGATTCATAAGCTATTATGTAAAGTTTCTATAAATTTACAATATAAAAATTAAAATCTGAAAAAAATATAAATATATTTTGCAAGCCATTTTAGTGGATGTGTCTAATAATGTTGAACAGTTGCTCATACATATTTTTATGTATTCAATAAATATAATAATATTAGATACATTTTTGGTAACCACAATCAAGGGCCAAAAAGATTGCCTACCTACAATATAAATTAATGAGAATTAAATCATTGAGTGCTTGATAATTTACCATTACATAATGGCAAATTCCTTTTGGCACTTGTATTTAAAAAGTAAATATGGCAATTAGTTAACGGTCAGGTAAACATTTTTTTAGGATATATATTTTGATAAAAAATATTTGTTTAACATGAGATATTGGCTCATACTGCAGTTTGTATCAAGATATCATTGTGTGTTTTCTGCATTAGTCTTTAAAAGTGTACTTATTTCTAATTCCCAACTGCAGTGTTTGCAGTTGTTTTCACTCTGTAGGTTTTCTGTTGCATGTGTTTTTGTGTTTGCGTTTTTGTGTGTGTTTGCATTTGTTTTTGTGTTATGTTTTGTGTTGTTATATGATTTTTTTGTGTTTGCATATGTTTTTTTGTGTTTGTACTTTTTTGTGTGTTTGCATTTGTTTTTACATGTTTTTGTGTATGCATGTATTTTTTGTGTTTGCATGGTTTTTGTTGGGTTTGTATGTGTTTTTTTGTGTCTGCATTTGATTTTTTTTGTGTTTGAGTTTGTTTTTTGTGTTTGCGGGGTTTTTTGTGTGTGTTTGTGTATTTTTGTTTGTATTTGCATTTGTTTTTTTAGTGTTTGCATGTGTTTTTTAGTGTTTGTATGTTTTTAAGTTTGCATCATGCATGTGATTGCTGTGCGTTTCGCTGTTTGCTGCGCTTTTGCACACCTCGGCCACCGTAAAAAAAAGCATGAAACAAAAGTAGTCTTTTTTTAAATGAAAGCATAACCTTGGGCCTCTGAAGCATCTACCAACTGAATACCTTTGACACAATATAACACCGTCATTTGTTTGGAGCCACCTGTGACTGAAAATGTTGTTTTTTCCATCCATTATTTTCCTGCTGCTAACCTTGGTTGGGTCACAGAGGCAACAAGGTTCAAAAAGAACCCAAAGGTCATA